CAACATTGACATGTTCAGGGAATCAAGAAACAGTGGCTACGCTGGCTAGTTCATGCGGTCCTGCTTAGAATACTCCAGTTCTAAAAGTTTTCGATGCAGCACCCGCCGATGGAAGCGGAGGAAGAGAAAGAAATCCACTCTGTTGTAACCACCAGGTAGAGAGAGACCTGGCGCAGCTGAGGATCTCCATGTGGCGCCAAGCAGCGGGAAAAATGAATGAATGCCACGATGATATAAATTTGGTTGAAACCGCGTAAGCGTTGTCTACGCCAGTAAAGTAAGTAAGTAAGTGAGCACACTACCTTTTCTCAACTTATTCTTGATTTCGCCATGTCTGAGTGTATCAACGTAAAACTTATATGTCTTAAAGAGATCTCATAGTGCTGAACGATCCTTTTGGGTACCAAATGAAGTTTCAGTCAACATGACTCAGTATCGTATGACTTATTCATTCTAGTAGTAGAAAACAGCAGGACTGAACAGACAGAGTACAATATTTTACATTGTAACCAAGCCGTTTATTCCACCCGAACGAAACTTCTCGAATGGGACTGTTTATGACTACGAATCATCAACTTAATAAAATGTAAGCTTCGCAACGCAGAAATACTTTTCAAGAGAAATTAAAAGACCGTGGCTACGCTGGAAAGGTCATGTCATCCGTATAAGTGACAACATTAGGTTTAGAATTAGGCACCGGAAAAGTTGCTGTTCTGCTCATTTCTCCTCTTCTATTGCGCTACAGCTGCGACGAATAGCATCATAGAAATATTTCATTAAGTAGAGCTAATTTTTTTTTTCATAGCACACCTCATTATGGAGTTTGATCTGTCCGTAAAAATGCGTGTAGAAATTTTAAAGCTCAATGATACAGGAATTGGTATATGAAAGCAGCAATGCACTTCTGTAGATAGACCCTTATGTTAAGTTAGGTTAAGCTGGCTGACCCTTTGGGTTTCATATAGACGAAATACATCCACATTATTGATGTCTCCACTGTGAAAAAAAAACTGCTGTTGTTTTCGCGAACCTATGTAGTCGTTCTGGTCCTTTAACCATTGTCGAAAAAAAAATCCGTAGTCTTTCCGCGCTCAGTATACACAGCCTTTGCTTTTCAGTGTTTCCGCACATTCCTTGCGCTTCCTAGGTTTGTTATCAACAGTGAGACCTATATTAAGCACATAATCCGTTGGAAGGAGCCTTGAGACCGTCCTCTGGCAGATGATACAAACTTTGTGACATTCGTGTTGTATGTTTAATACAAAGTCCTCAAGTTTTTGCAGCCCTTAGCTCATTCCCGTAGTCTTTTTGCCTGACGAAGAAGTATTACTTTATACTTTTTTCACCTCCTTGAATGGAAGTGGAAAATTCAAAGCTCCATCTTGTTCAAAATAGACACCCTCCTTAGCAAGTTTGTCAGCTATCTTATTACCTTAAATGCCCATGTGGCGTTACACCTAGTAAATGTACGCTCTTCCGTTTTCAGACAGTACTTTATATAAAGTAGATAGATCATTAGCTTTGTTCTTAATTCTAGCTGAATCATTAAAAATGAACGGTATTTTTTTTTAACCGAAAACGAAAGCTGGTGAACAGTGTTTGAAGTGTACCGAACTGCGGTGGATTACTTTGTACTGAATGTGCTCCAGAAGAGTGGACGTAAAATATAAATTTATTTCAACGCCTAGCTTATTATTGAGGTTGCTCGATCATGGAGCCCTACTCAAACATACCTAAACTTACTGCTCCGTAGCTTTATGGCCAAAGGCTAAATTAATACAGAAAAAGAGTATAACTGAGATTGGAGAGTATACCAACATCTCCGGATTTATAATTCATAAAAAATTATGTGTTTAATCTCACCAAAAACAAACTCTCTGAACTCTAGTTCCTAAAATTTGTAGAGAAACGTCAAGAGCCAACACGAAAATCGGACGACAAACTCAGCTGAAAGCTATTCAAGAGGATTAAAGAGCAAATTAAATGAAAAACTCTTATATTGAAGACGCCCAAAAGAAACAATCAGCCCAACGGAAAGAACCTTCAATGCTTTAAGCTAAATATTTTTGGAAATATTATATTGCCATAACATAGGATTATCCAAAATGCTTGGAAGTAGTCTTTATCAACACTTTCTTAAACAGAATTGACATTATATTCAATATAAATACCACTGCAAAACACTCGCAACACATCCACATTGCATCTACTTGACTAATTAACCCCATCTTGTGGTGATTGGCCAAACTTAAGTTTTTCGAAGCTCGTTGACAGCAACTTTTGTATCACGATTTGCAACAGCGAAATTAAAATCGGATTAAAGTAGAAAACTTAAAAGTGTGATTACACATCAACAACAAACACCTTCGGTAAAATATGCGCAAGACAGAATTAAAAAGGATCCGCCCGTCGCCTGCCAGTTACTCATAACCCATCAAATGTGAAAGAGGCTGCTGGAATCAAGTTTGAAACCAATGTCGTTGACGATGAGCAAGGGATTGAATAATTCAGCATAGACCAGCGGAGTACTGTTTGGCTACACAACAAAAACAACTGGCAAACTTTACGCCCGAAAGTACTTACAAACACAAATCTCCACGCACCAACATACATTCATATCTACTAAGCATAATAATAGTAATGGCGTTCTTGTTGGTGGAGATGGTGGTGATAGTGCCATGAACTTTATCAAAGAAAAACATTGCCAAATATATGAAAAGCCTTTCCCGTCCACCGCTCCAACCAACAACTAACTATAAGTATCGTCTTGGACCTTTTGTACGCACCGAGAATCCGAAAATGTCCATTGTTTATCTCCTGTCCGCCTTTTCTTCCAGCAAAATAGATGCATACAAGCAGATAAAGGATAACAGTCGGCACATCCTTACGTCAGTCAGCAGTCTTTTTGCTCAGATTGCCATTGTTAAGTTACTTTTGCACTTTTGATGAGTTCATGTTTTTCTTGTTGACGTCCTTGTTAAGGAAGCGGCTCGTTGGTGGCGTTCTGCTGCGAACGAAGATGAAGGTATCCTGTGTGAATTTTGTTATTTCATGCGACCTGTTTATGCTGCTTGTGACTCTAAATTTTGGGTTGGAGTAGGTTTTTGTGCTGAATTGTCGCAACGGTCGCTCGCGCGCTCTCTGTCTCTCTCTTCGTGCTCTGCCTGTTTCCTGCATTATTTCATTTTTCTGGCATTTGCTGAGATTACGAAAGTACTTAACATGCAAATGATTTAATTGGAGTCTTATGCATTAAATTTCTTACCCGGATTAAGTGTTACAATGTCTTTGCATTTGACACTTTTCCTTGTTTGGCGCAACAATGATATTATAATGCTGCTTTGCTTACCCGAAACTGGATAGTCGAGGACTTTCTGGCGCGTGTTTGCAGGGAAAGGTATGCAAAAGAAACAATAAGCGTGAACATACTTACGTAAGAATACTTATCTTTTTGGTATGTTTACCAAGTTAGTGGTGCTAAAAATGTCGAGAAGTATCTGGCTTGCGCTCATTAAAGTTCAAACTCTCCATAATATGACAAAATTATGGCATTAAATATGCAAATTGTCTGCAGATAATACAAAATTTTATCATAATTATTAAGATCCCAATAAAAAAAAACATTTTTTTTGAGTTCCTTTTGTGGAACCCAGTAAGTCCTTCAAGCCTTGAATTGCTCTAGGCTGGTTTAATGATGTTTTATCTCTCCCATTATATCTTTAAGGCTGATTTGGACGCCGAATATTGGCAGACTACTTGTATTTCCAGCTGATGCGCTTTCCACAATGAACACCCTTGAGAAGAAATCGCCGCGCAAGAAGCATATTTAGCAAACACGGTCTCCTGCGGTCTTCGCTTGAACAGAATAAACTCAAAACGGTTTGGGGATATAGATAAAATTAACTTTTGTTCGAGGTGATATATAGAAGTTCTCAAACGCTGATTTTCCTTTTGCGAAACTTGAGATTAAGCACATTGGTTCTCACACAAAACTCAATGTTACAACCTTTCCATATAATGATTGGAAAATTATAAAAATTTGGTATCCCCCAAAAGGTGTATAATAAAGCTCCACCGACAACCACATTGGACACTTTGCTGGGTTCTGAAAGTAAGAAAATCAGGTGATAAATTCCATCCCAATAAAGTTGGCCGATAATGGAACTAAGTGAAGCTGAACTAGTCGTTCTATCTCTTTCACAAAGGAGTGCTGATGTAGCTTATAAAGACTACAATTGGGTTCGGAAAAAGAACAAAAAAAGGTAAATCTCCCTCATTGCGTCTAGAGAACTTCTGGCTACATTTGATATCAATTATAGACGTTTTAGCTGATTGCAGCTCAACATTCTTTCCATAAACAACTAGATCTACATATCAACGACAAATTTCAATAGTCCTCTAGAATATAAAAGTTATACCAAATCGCTGTTACCTGTTTGTAAGATAATAAGATGAATCGGTTATGCTGTAATTGGCCGAAGGCAAAAGTGTCAGCACCTGAGTACATCGAGAAATAGACACATTCGGATCTTCGCTTACAATTTCACTTACAATAGTGATATTTGAGATGGAGCGACCAAACCGATCATACACAGGCCTTTAATATTTGTAACCGATTCAGTATCTTCAATTTCTTTCAAAATCTTATGTAAAGAAGTACGGTATAAATAGTCAGACGCTAACTTTTCCAAATATCGGAATATCAGTTTATTACTACTAACTCGACTCTAGCGCCACCTAGAGAGATGAAATATAGTCCATGAGCATCCTTTTCAAATTTTTTTAAATTTGCTCATCAATTTGTTGAGCCTACCTATAACCAAGGAATATAATGAGTTATTTTTATGAAAAAAGAAAATATATATATATATTTTCATATATGTACTATATGAAAACATCGTCTATTAAAAGCACAGTGCATAGTTGTAAATAATCTTTATTATTATTACTTCAGATATAAATAAATATTTTTTTAATGATAAAATAAGTGTACATAAATATTTATATTAAATGCGCTGTGATATGTGTGTATACAACTATAATAAAATATATAAATATATTTAACAAGTGATGAGTATTATGGCAGAACTCACAGAAGCTAACGAAAAGGAATTTTATATAAAGCTTTGAATACATATCTTTAAGTGAGATTAAAGATAAATAAAATAAAATAAAATAAAACAATTTATAATATTACATATTATTAGGTTAAATATGTAATAATAAGTAAACATTTAATAATTTTTTTGTAAACCTTGAATTTTCATGAGTCATTACTGTTAATTTTAAACAACGTGGTAAGCCACAAAGTACAAATTCGAATACTTTTTTATACTTAAAATATGCTGTAATTTTCAACTTAAATTAAAAATTTCTTAAATTTAAATTACACACCTACAAACGTAATTAAATTTGATTGCTGAGTATTTGGCACTAGAGCTTCTCTCTCTCTCTCTCGGTGTTTCTTTAAACAACTTACTTATCAGCTGGCTGAGCATCACCCGAAATGGTTAATTTTTCAAACATCGGCTTTTTCAGACCCGACACATCAAATACTTCCGCTTCGGGATTTAGGGGCAAATCGGGATTGTCATTGACAGCAATATCATTGGACAAATCTATTGGCACCGCATCAAAGGCATCGATATCGTTGCTCAAATCATTACGCTCCTCACTGCTCGCCTTCGCCAGATCATCCTTTAAATCAGCCCATTCCGAATCGAATTCAGGATTCATTTGCACAGCCTCAGTCTCATCTTCCCCTTCGTCATCTGACGATGAGATGTCTTCACGATTCTTGTTGTTGGCATAATTTGCGTAACGTTTCTCATTTGATTCGTTGTCAACTTCATCAATGTCGCTACCAGGTTGTGGTGCTGCCGCGATAGCAGCATCATCACCCAACCATTCAACCGTGTCTTCAACAGATTTTACTGGCTCAGTTACCGCTTCATCGATACCGTTCGTTGATTCACTAGCTGCTGTTTCGTTAATATTTTCCTCATCCAATTCAGCGCGCAAATCATCAGCATCATCCTCATCTTCGTTGTCATTTTCATTTTCAATCTCAGCGCCAGCTACTGGTGCTTCATCTGCAGCCTCCTCACCGCTTACACTGCTAGCTGCCGCATCATCGGTTGCAACATCCGAGTTTGATGACTCATTTGGGCTGTTATTCGCTTCCATTGCCTCATTATTTTCAATTGTAAGCGTTTGCTCTTCTTCCGCCTCTTGCTCAATGCTCGGCGAATCATCTTGGAACGTTGCCGTATCTGTTGCTCTTGCTGTTTCTGGTGCTATTGTCGTTATCTCCTCAACAACCAACACTGTAGTGGTCGCGGCAGCATCATTTTCGAGATTCTCCATATTTTCTTTTATATCGCTGTTGTTAACAGACTTATTGGTTTCCGCTTCGATATTTCCGTCTATTTCCACTACCTCGGCGATTTCTTCTTCCGAACTTTGTACACCGCTTCCTCTGCTGTCAGCTGTGCCGGTTGCTTCTGCCACTTCAAAACTATTGTCTGTAACAAATGCAGCATTTAAGTTGGCGGCATTGTTCTCATTTGTTATTGGCAACATTGTTGTATGTTGTTGTATGAGTTGAGCTTGTGATGGAAGGATGGACTGAGATTGGTGCTCAGTGTGCTGCATTGCAGGGATATTTTGTGCGGATGTATATATGTTCGTTTGAGTGAATTGATAGTTGGTGACAATGCGGATTTAAAAAAACGGTTGATGTGCCAAAAAGTCGGATTAAAGTTGGTTTTTTTTTTAGTTTTTTTTTTAGATTTTTTTTTCAATTTTTTTTTTAATTTTTTGTTTTGTGTGTGCGCATGTTGTGCAGGTGCATGTAAAGATAAGAAGAGATTTAGAGAATTCAATAAGTCTCTCAGTAAGCTCTACTTTCTTTGCATTTTATTTAATTGAATGAAATGAATTAGGAATTGTATTGAACGTTTGAGATTTTTGAAATGTATCCAATATTACTATAACCTCAAATGTTAGTCAACAGTTAGTAAACCAAAAACAAAAGTTAGTTAATACTCACATACCCAAAATTACTGTTAAATTCTCTGCTTAGACTAGAGATGTGTTTTGTTTGGGGTAAATTACTTGAATGATTTTGAAACCAGTTCAGCCATTGCTTATATATGGGCACGCAACCCGTAACTTAACTATTAATAAACAAAACAAAGAAACAACTACGCTCAATGTTAAACAAAAACATCTAAGCCTGCTCTTTAATTGAAGTCAATAAAAACATCTAAGCTTTCTCACTATAGTAATCTCTTAGAAAGTAAGAGCTTTAACGATGTTCAAATAAATTTTTAATAAAAAATCATTACCAATTATTGTACTTGTGTTTATTAATCAAAGCTCTTTCGAAAGCTCTGAGTCATAGAATTGCCCATTTTGCTCTTATTAACCAGTTTTGTCTTGATTTTTTTCACACTCTTATGAAACTAATAAATCTCTCTTTTATTTCATTTATTTTAACAAAGTTTCGCTAGCGTAGTTCACATACTCTCCGTATACGCGCATACATATGCGTATTACTCATTAAGATTCCGCTGCGTTGCCACTATGAGTCACCTTCAACGGTGAAGCGTAATGCCCATATTTCCTGAATATTTAAGAATTTTTATACAAATCCTACGCGCCAAGTTTCAACCACAGTCGCGTCGTTGGCTTGTGCCGCTGTTTTCTTGGTGTGACGTTTCATCATGCGCCAGATCATTTTACTCAACATGTGTTACGTCTCGATAATGTACCCAGCAGAAAAATTCGAATGTTTTACTGTTTAACTATTTGCGACCTTTCGGGGCCTTAGTGTGTTGTATTAAGTAGTGGAGTTATAGTCTTGGAGTATTTCTTTTATTTTGAATTTGGATTAGAGTCAAGTCAAATCTGTTTACGGCCCTAAGAAAAATGGGGCTTATATTGATGTAGATGTGTTGAAGGGGAATATCATCATATGCAAGAGATAACATATTTTAAAAAACTAGGTAATCGGGAATCTGCTGAGTGCAGAGAAAAAACCTCGTAGCACTATTTTCCTGAGGACAGTGCAAATCTTCCAAAATTACCCAAAAAACTAAATGAAACCGAATAAACAGCGTGAAAAAAATGATACCATAGAGTACTGACTGCAGAGCCGATTGAGTCGACATATCTTTTATGATCCCCTTTGCTCTAACCTAACGGAAATAGGCAAATACAAATGGGAGAAAATTAGAAAATATATTTAAATATTTAATAGAGTGAATTGTTAGATAACTCATAGTTAAACCAGGAAAAAAATAGCCTACACATTGGCTTAAGTGTGGCCGTTCAAGATCTGATTTGTAACCTCCACTTTTAGAACCAACCAACAAATATCGCCATAACCTGAAAGAAGGTACGGGCTCCTCTAAATTTTCCTACAGGGTTCATGAGTACATTTACGTATATAAGATATAACTATAGTCATAGTATTTACTTTCATACTCGTAAGTATATGATTTCGCTAGTAGAATATTTACAAACACACAGTTGAGTCCGATTTTAATTTTAGTAACTTTTTCATAAATTTTTCATAGCGGTTTCCAAGAATTGCTCCGTAAAAAACAAAAATGCTAAAATTAATCATCGACCGTTTTTGAAATCTTATTATAGCGAAATTGTAATTTTGGCATCTTATCTGATTTTATTCTACTTTATTTTATTTCACTAAAATATATTTTTTTTATATTATTCTGTTTTATTGTATTTTATTTTATTTTATTTTATTTTATATAATTTTTTTGTTTTTTTATTCTATTTCATAATTTTATTAATTTTTTTATTCATTATTTTAATTATTTTATTTTATTTTATTTTATTTTATTTTATTTTATTTTATTTTATTTTATTTTATTTTATTTTATTTTATTTTATTTTATTTTATTTTATTTTATTTTATTTTATTTTATTTTATTTTATTTTATTTTATTTTATTTCACTTTATTTTATATTATATTATTTAATTTTTGTAATTTTATTTTGTTTTATTTTATTTGATTTTGCTTTATTTTATCTCATTTAATTTTATTTCATTTTAATATTTTTTAGTGTCCTGTATTCGCAGATTTACAATAGTGTCAATTAGAAGCCACAACAATAAAAATATTGTAATAAAATACTTTAAATATTAGCGCAATTACATATGACGTATTAAAAATTAATTACTATTTTTTCTATGAATATGGAAGTAAATCACTTTATGAAAAAGTATAAATTTTAAATAAAATGAAAGAAATGGCAGCAATTAAATGGCCAAAAATAACGCCATTCACTGAATTATTAAATTATCATATTAATGCACGCGTATGTATGTACTTTCATATGTATGTATATTAATAAGTAAATGTACAATTATTGTGTGAAGCATGAATGACACTCATTAAAACGAAATTAATTTGTAACCAATGCAATTGCGAGTGTATGTAAATATGAGCTGGACAAAAAAAAAAACATGTAATGAAATTCTAAATTTTTCACCGCAAATTTCGAATTACTGCGGCGAGGTTTGTTAATTATACAAATATTTTAGAATTCTTTCACTTGTTTTTCAACATACAATATTTGTTTTCGCACATTTACATAAATTTTATATTTTTTTCTGCAATAAGTGAGTTGTTCTCTTATACCAGATGATTGTATGATTACGTGGAAATGCATAATCAAATCAGTGTGCAAATATGTACACATGTGTTTCTGTTATGTCATCAAGGTGTATGAGAGTAAATTTCAATTTAATATAATATTACAGGCAAATTTTTGCAAATAATATAATATTAATTTTTAATATATTTTTTCATATGAAAAAATACCATTTTAATGACAGATGTTGTGTTACATAATAACACAAATAAAATGTGCCTAGGGAGTTCGTATAAATTTTTATTTAATTTTATATTTATTTTACTTCGAAATTGCTCATTTTGCATGAATAAATCACTGTTGAAATTAACAACATTTTTATACAAAGTATCAACGAATTGTACATTTTTCAAATTGAAATCTCAACACAAATAACTGACATTTTTTACATATTCACAGAATATTTTTCAAATTTTTCAGACGAATGTCGATTTTTTATCATTTGATGACATTGTTGCTGTTGTTTTTGTTGCTGACCTTTTGGCAGCATTTAAAGGAAATTTATTTATGCTCACTGCATAAAACCCGCGCTCACCAAATCATTTTTATGGTTTATGACGTCTACGTTACGTTTTGTTGTTGTTATTGTTGTTAATATTTTTATCTAGCCATATAGAGATTTGTTGCCACTCTGAGCCAGTCAGTGCCGTTATATGCTGGATAGGTATACATGCATGTGGATATGAATATACCTGTCGCCGTGCGAATGGACATTTCATATTTATTGCCATAAATATTAACTGAACAAAAAAAATATGAAAGTAACTTTGAAGAAATTTTGTTGCAACAATCATATTGAAACAATTTTCTTCTTTTTTCATTTGTGTGTGTGGTAATAAATTGGAAAAATCACATTTGTGTGTTTGTTTGTTTATAGATATAACCGTACTCATATTGCAATGAAACCCTTCCTCTTCTCATCAATGTTGTTTATGTCTCATAGGCACACACGTAAGCAGACGCACATATTTCGGTATGTACATACATATGTGCATGCATGTATTTTAGTATTGGCCTGGCCGCCTAACTCGCTAGCACCATAAAGCCTGCAGCTATGCTTTCAATTTCATATATAAATGTACTGTCATTAGGGGATTCATAAATTTGATTTGATTTTTTATAACTTTTGCCAATGGTCAAGTCAACAGACATACATATTTACTATTAATATATGTACGTAGTATTTGTACATATACATACATATATACATACAAATTCCAATTTGAAATTTAGACTTAAACCCGTTTTGTTAATAACAAATAAATTTGTAATAAATAAAACAATGAGAGTTCCAATGTATTTCCTTTACAGCCATCAGACTGTTTATTACCGTAATTTTTGGATAATATTTGACTTTTGAAAATATTTTCATCTGTGAAAAATTCAAACAGATGAAAGATGAAATATTTGTGTAATATATATTACAAAGCATTGTAGCCGCTGGAATAGTTTTCGATCAATCCCTTTCTCCAATTGGTGGTTTGTATCTTGACCTTTTTCCAATAAAGGCAGAGATCCGCAGGTGATGGATTTTTATGAAGAGCTTTTGTGTTAGAAATGCACCCAGAGGGTTTGACATTAGATTAACATGCCTTAGTTATTGAAAAAAATTTCAAAAATAATGAAAACTATGTGGCCGAAGTTCGAAAACATCATAAAAAAATACTCTCGTTTAGGTGGTTATAATTGAGGTTATTTAAATTCACAGGACAACAAGACCACAACTGTGCGTTTTTTAATCGAGGATATTCGACGCTAAATCAATCCAATTCACCTAATTGCAGATTGCCAAGTACTCACAGATTATGTGCTTGACTGTTCCTATCCATCCCTAAATTCCCTATATTTGTTATCTTCAATCATACCTAATTTGAAAGCACCCTATGCTCTCATAAGCAGAGTGGAGGCCGACCTCTTTGGTGCTGGTGGAAATCTAGCACGTTTGTTTTACATATAACTTTTTCAGCTCAAAGGGTACTACTCCTGTAAAAAGTCCAAGAGCTATCCCTCCCGAGTTAAAAGTAAGGGTTTCATTTTACTATCTACATAAATATGTTCTTATGTATTATAATTTTGTGTGGTCCAGCATTTTATTCTGCATTTATTGTAGTAGTCATAATTTTCCTGAAAAACAGGACGAGGTGTTTGAGAATCCGTCATACTACCACGGGTTCCCATGAGACAGTGAGCGGTTGTTGCGCCAAATGCCATGCTTATGGAGTTCCCAAATAAACGGAGTATTTCCGTTTACCTCGACCAAGGACCAGATTTGTAAGGTGACAATGCAGATACTTTCAGAGGAAGTCGGTAAGCACATGTCACATTTACGTTGCTCCCTGGGATGTCCCGATTAATCTAGGCCCAAACTACGGACGTTTCGCATACAGTGGAGAATTTTTTCAGACCTCTCTGCATCTCTTGTTATTCTATACTACTATGCTTGATCATAAAAAGATTTTTAAGCGCTTAACATTTCCATTATTAATATTTGTACCTTTAATGGAGATGAAATGGCTTCTATCTATGGTTCGAAGTACGTAAGCAGCAGTGGGAGAAGAGATAAAGCCAACAAAATTTGTACCGATCAGATGACAATGACGATTGATTGATTTAGCCATGCCCACTTGACCCTCTGTTTCAGTTAAAAGATCAACGCGCCATCTCACACTGCTGAAATAAGAAGTAATTTTATTGCGCTCTTTGGAAATGAAGAAACAGGTCCAGCACCATATTCTCCAGATATAGCACCTTGTAATTTCTGTGTATTTCCAAAGAAAGGTATTTAATAGCAACAAAAAGATAATTAGTGCGGTTAATGCTGAACTTGGTAAGCTTGAAAAGCAATATTTTGAAGACTGTTTTCAAAAGTGGATCTATAGGTTTAAGAAATGCATTGAAATCAATGGCGATTATATAGAGAAGTTAAAAAAGGACAAAGATTTCGAATAAATAGAAAATGAATTATTTCTGGTCAATTTACTGAATTTTCATTAAGCCCCTCGTAAATACATATCTGAGAGCGCAAAAATTTAGTACTTAGTATGCATTCGTAACTACCACACATCGTCAATCATCGCTATCGAAAAACCTTGCCGTATAGACCTCCCTTCAACAAAATCGTAGTGTTTTATTAATGTTTTAATTATTATGTGCAAATATTTGATTAATTTAAAAATATAGCTACTCAAAAATTATAAGGAAATCGGATCATTCGTCGGAGTTTTTCGAATAGACTGGTCCCTGGCCTACTTCCCTAAAAGAAAAGTTTTTCCCATTTAAACCCTACTCAAAAAGTTATTAATATTTCATATGCAATTTACATAGAGATGGGTTCTATATCCACTTTCTCCATATATTTTTTTAGCACCTGCCACCTGCGTATGGATATTCCATATTTAAGCGAATCAAACCATGATAATATTTGCAAAGAGCTTTCAGTGTACCAAATTTGATATTGAATTATTGTAATGAAAAGGTAGATTTTTTCGAAAAGATTGGTCCTTAATCCACTTGCCGGAAAATTCTCTCATACGCAGAATACAACCTCCAAGTGTCAAGTTCCTACAATTAGTGAGGGCGATGATTTGATTGTACTTGCCGCTTTGAGGAATAAAAGAAATTAGGATTATTTCTTTAGCTTGCGAGGCATGATGCCGGTTCAATTCGAGATATTGCAGATCGTCTTAATGTATCTATTGGAACTGCAAGCCGAATTATTTCAAGGGTTATTTATTTTATAAGCCGGATGTTCATTATTTATATAAAGGAAGAGAAATAATAACTTCAGAGGAGTCCAGTTTAGCGTTTTCATTTTTATTTACTCAACGTTTCTTTGCATACAGACCTGTCAAAACAATTATTTTGCTTGCTCCATGTTACTCTAAAAAAATAGTCAGAGCAAGAAGTGATGCTCTATGTGCTCTATTTTTGCTTAGAGCAGACTCATGAAACAAAGAGTAGAGCAAGTAAGAGCAAAAAAAGTGTCATGATACACAAATTTGTGAGTAAGCGTAACATAGGGCAGCTCAATAAACAAACTTATTATGGAGTATATACGAAAAGTGGTATTTAAACATAATTTTATTCCTCGAATAGCAGAAACAAACATACACATTTTTCATATAAATTCAAGTTAATGTCTAGTTTCCAACCGACTCAATTGCAGTTCAATTTTTGAATACGAGTAAAAATGCCATTACCCACATGCACCTTCATTTAGCAATTGTGATCGTTAAAACACGAGCAATCAACGGCTAACAGTGGAGTTGACGCAATAGTTGACTACAGAGAGTACCTTTTAGATTAATCCGATGAAACATGTGGACCAACCTTTTTTGCAGGGTAGTTAAATTTCATATTTAAAATTTACTTACCAGTTTATAAATATATATAGAATTAATAAGTATATCTATGTGAGTAATCAGCTTACCTCTGCCCAAAATTATGCCCAAACCGTTTTTATTGCATTTATTATTTTCTTAGCGATTTTTTGTACAGTTACATTTTGCAAACTATTTGTATTGTATATACATATGTACAAATTTAATTAAAAAAGCACCAAAAAAAATAACGAAACCTTAACATAGTTCTCAACTCAGCATAAGCATATTTACAAAAGTCTTCAAAATTTAAATAAATGTTTAAAAATAATAAAGAACTTTATTCAATACAAATAAAATTGCTTTATAAAATTATACAAAGTTATACATATATATATTGTTTTATTAAGTATTTATATATTTTTTTCTTCTTTGCATATATAATATAATACAAATATTAGTTCCAGCAAAACTTTGTAGAAATCAATACATAAGCATTCATTGTTAGTAAGTATGTATGTGGATAAATTTTTCAAAAACCATAAAAGCCACTAAATTATGCATTTTCAAAATTGTAGTTCCGTAAATGCCGTTTTTTGAGATTGCGGTAATATTCGATAAAGTATAATCAGCATAATACATAATTAAAGTAATACATATGCATAAGCGAGTATATTATATACATATGTTGCGTTGTTATATATATTTAGATATATTAAAAAAAATGTTTTAAATTTTTACAGTACAAAAGCAGAGAAGATAGTCATATTAGTTTCAGAACTTTACAATTGATGAAAAGTTTATGAATGAAATAAAAAAAATTAAAGAAAGTATGTTAAACTTTACAAGGTTATTATTGTTTGAATTAAATTCATTTGAGATAATTGAAAATATTTCTTTCTGCCTTCATTTAATATTTTACCTCAGGCTCATCAATGTTACGTTTAATTTCATTCTCATACGAATTCTTCTCTAACGGTTCGCGACGTTCATCCGACTCGCTCTCTTCAGCGCCTTTGGTTGGCGCTGATGTAACGGGATTCGGGCCGTTGGCATTCGCTTCGGGTGTTTCGGCAACATCTTCATCCGAACCAATCGGGCGAATGTTGACCAAACGTACTTTGAAGAGATTGTCACCATCGCCATATACAGTCTCGTTCACTTCGATCTTATGACCATCGACGACCTTTGCAAATAAATAGTTTGTTATTATATATTTACCATTTGCATAAAATATATACAGAAACTATGTTTTATTACCTTCACTGTTGATGTGGTATTGCCTTTGGAGGGATCAAGCGATGAGATTGTTTCGCCATCTGGTAAGGCCTGAGACCAAAGTTGATTACGTAGGCGTTGGAAGATGTCTGGAAAAAAGGGAAAATTTATTGTTTACTAGACATAGATATAAAGCGGTTGTAAATAGAAGAGTGTCGACTCGGATTTTTGTTCTTCATGTAAAACTATTTCAAGAAAACATGGCGTGGGACTGTCTCATCTGAGACAAACTACCGAAGGAATGCAGTAAAACAGTGGGGAGTTTGTCAAATTTTTAAATGTTAAATGGGTTGCCACTTTTAGTGGCATAATTTTAATGACTTCTGTAGTAGCTGTAACATAATTGAAAAGGAAGAGCCCCTTGGACACCACTGTGTTCAGCCCTGAAAATCAACCCACATTAATTATTCGGAAAATTGTACTATAAATGCCACATCATGTTATTCCATCAAATCAGAAGATACTGGAAAATTTGTACTCTTAGATCCAAGTATGCCTGTGAAAATGCGAAGTATTTGGTAAATTCAATCGGTTATAGAAAGAGCTGCTCGCTTTCTTCGATGAAGATCGGAACGTATTCCATAATGCTGGAAATTACTGGCTACACATTTTGTGATAGTCTTTTTTTAAAGGCCTTTCGATGATTGGATTGATTTTTCAACGTTGTTTAGTTCTAGGAATTTCCATGATGAAATGCCAAAAATATTGAACAATAATAACATGACGCGCTCGGCGCAAAAAGGCTATTTAAAAAAGCCTTCTTGGATCACCATTATAATAATATTTATAAAAAAAAAGAACTACAAAATAATCGTTTTGGAACACACTTGGTACGAAAAGATGGCAATCATTTTGTTTTTGAGAACACAATGCATATGTATGCACGAGTATTTGAATGTGTATACACAAAGCAAGTAGAAAATTTTCAAAACTGCCATTAAATAAACAGCTCTTTTCATATGAGCACCAGCATGAGATAAAAAGATGTTCAACAAAGCAATTATTAATGTCTTTTTTCTATAGAAACAACCTTACATCTGAAGCACATACTTACATACGAGTACGTACTTATTTTTGCATTGTTATATTCTTTAGTTTATTTTTTTCGGAAGTCTTTATTGTGTCATCTCCAAAGAGTATTCCCGTAGGTTGTTTACGAGCGGATGTGGGAAGATGGGATTGCAGTATAGATTTTAAGAAAAGATTTATTTGTCAACTCGAGGCATAAATACAAATATACATATATACTTATACATATATACTATATGTATATACTAAGATTATTTCAAAAACCCATATAAAAATGAAAATCAAGTTTTCTGTTGCAATGGGGATTTTTGTAATTAAATTCATAAAAAATATTTTCGCATAATGCGTCAAGACAATAATAGGCAGACATTAAACGCCACAAAATACCTTAAGGGGAATTTCCCATTTTAGCGTAATTACAATCAGAATATCATTTTAAGTGAATAAAAAGAAGAAACCTGCACCAAACTGTCAGATCTGCTTAAAATTAAACCACCTTAATGTAGAATTAACATATTTATATTCTTGTTTATTAAAATACCTCGTAATTGCTGCAAAAAATGTACATACATATAGTTTGCATGTGCCTCTGCAAGTTTAATTGTTTTTTCGTTCTAGTTCATAATTATTTTGTTGTCTTTCTATTTCTAACTTTCTATTCTTAGCCTTGCGCCTAATAAGTAGTCTGTCGTATTCTTAGCGGCTATGAGGGCAGCTTTGCTTTTGTTGCTTCGTTTGTTTTTTTTTTGTCGTTTTTGTCGTCAATTCACTATTCTTCGCCTTACAAAGTGCAAAGTGATGGTTTGTGTAATTATTTAGGCTAATTTTCTATGGCATTTGGATTTTTGAAGGCTTCCCTGAATAAGTTTGTATATACAAACATATATATGTATGTATGTACGTAAATACATATATATAAGTAGTACATATTTGTGCTTTCTTATGCACATAAGTATTTGTAGAAACTTTTAATCACATTTATATTAACTTAAAAGTGTGTTTAAGCATACATTTTTACTCTTGACGGAAACCCTGAACTAGTGAGGCTTATTCTCAATTCATGACATGTGCTTTTTGTGCTTTTGTGCTATGTATTTGCACAATTCTCAATTGATATAAGAAGTAGGACTAAATAAGAAGTAGAAAGTAGTTTAAGTAGTAGGAAATATTAATTCATTGAATTTAATTTTCATTTATTTTTTTTTCTTATTTTTTTATGTTATTTTATTTTATTTTATTTTATTTTATTTTATTTTATTTTATTTTATTTTATTTTATTTTATTTGATTTTATTTTATTTTATTTTATTTTATTTTATTTTATATTATATTATATTATATTACATTATATTATATTATATTGTTATATATTTTGTTTTATTTTAATTTAATATATTTAAATTTAGTTTTATCTTATTGCGCTGATGTGTTATTTTAGTTTTTTTTTTTTAATTGTTAAATTTTAATTTATTTTATGTAAAAACGAGGTGCTTAGTCTCACCCTGCTTGCGTTTTTCAAACACCATAATGCAAGCTCATAAGAAAGTACGCTGAATACAGTCGAATAAAAATAGGATTAAAATATGATATCTTTCTTTCAGTCTTTAGTTGATCTTGATAAAAGTTTTTTAACGAAGTACTGGCTGATTATTCAAAGTTTCGCCAGAAGGAAGAGGAGAGAAAGGTAAGATATAAGATTACCTAAAGTAAGCAATTCAATAAACCTTTCTTATATCTAGACAACCACCAATTGCTTGTGCTCGTCAATAAAAAACGAGACTACAACCCTTACACTATTCAAGAATTATCCACCTGTTTTTACAAATATAAAATATACGCAAAAAATTTGTAGCTGTCATTCAAATAACTATGAGACATACGTGTACATACCTTCAAAAGCATCGAAGAAGCCCAAATTGAAGGAGAACGGCAACGGGTGTGGCTGCAGGAATGGGTAACCCACACCGGTATCTATAACACCTTTGAAATCTCTGAAGTCAGTTTCACCAGCAGAACCTTCATCCGAATCTTCATCATAACCGCGTCTGTTAGCTCCTTGACGACGTGGCACATCAATCACTTCAGCGTCATCGCTTGGAGAGCCGGCTGTAGGGTGAATAAATAGAAATGCAAAGAAAAAAAATTAATTAGCGCTCGAAAATTTGAATCAGACTACAGATACAATACGCCTAATTAACAACTATCACTATGGGTGTGTGTGTGTGTGTGTATGTGTATGTAGGTGAGTATAAGCTACCATAAAATATGTTTGCTTATTGTAATAGTGAAAGCATGATGTGCGCACTTAGTATGCAGCAGAAGTACGTGAAACATTTAATTTGGCGCACGTCAGCGCATTCAAAAATAATTTAATAACTGTTTTTTTTCCACCACCTGCTCAATATTCACTGTGGCTATGCCTCACCAGTGTTGAACTGTTAGTAAATTAGCTCTTACGCATTTGCGGCAAATTTTGACAGAACAAAAGCAACATCAGCGCTCACAAACAGTCGCTCGTTTTATTTATACCGTTATTCGCGCCACATCGCGTCAGCATCCACTGTGTCAGCGTTTTGTGAAATGTGAATTTTCCGCGTTTTGAGATTGCGAATCGCTTTTGTTTTGTTCCCTTCCTCGACGCTGTCTACCAACCTGCTCTCCGTTGCTTTTCCGCATCATCATTTCTCTCAATTATTTTGTGGTACAGCCCCCAAACCACCCGCTCATTACCGGTTGATTTATATATTTAACAAAGCCAAAAATTGCGCATAATTATAAATGGCAACCGAAGGCGAATTGAGGAGCTCATCCCACGTCCCGCTCCAACACTTTCAGCCAGCATCCAACCGCACAATTACAAGCACTGTTGAGAGGCGCCGTCAATTGTTGCGCGTGAGGGTTTGTTTAAAGTGAAACACTTGCGTATATATGTATGTATGTATAGATGAAATAGATGTACTTCAGCTAATTCTCTGAGATATTCAAATTGGCAGTTGCTATTTCATTAATCTAATTTCTTCTCTCCGCCAGCCAAATACTAACAGCTGTTTTAGAACAAAATGAAATTAATTTGATTTTGTTATGAACATTTTGCTCTCGAACAGCAACTCTATACAGATCTGGGAACAGCAAAATCATATAATGAGGTACTAAAGAAGCTCTCGACCCGTTTTGGCCGAAAGATGGCGCAAGAGGCTTATTATTTTGAAAAGTCTTCTTTTTAGGCTAATTTTAATATAGCAGCAATACAAAGTCGGTAGGGACAAAAAAAAAAAAGAACAAAAAAAATATTTGCCTTGCTGCGACATATTTAAGCCTTCGAGTGCATTCACGTCGTAGACGAACGTCAATGGTTAAAACCGTATAAGTTCTTTATCAGTTTATTCATAAACCATGAACTGGTGATTTCTATCCACGCTAAAGCACAGTAATGAAAATCTGTTTCCATTATGATCGATGGGAGAGCTTGGATTTTTTATTTGATGAATTGAATAACTGACTAATTACTCCCATACCTAAAAACAGTTGACAGACATAGTCCACCCTCAAAAGAGTGCACCGCATATTCTCCAGTTAGATACAATCAATTGAGGAAAGCATCAAGCTTCTAATTGAGCTTTTAGAAGTAAGTGGTAAGAGTTTCTTAGATTTTCTGACACATAGTTGCATTTACAACTTTCTACCTCTGAATGGTGGTGAGAGGTTTCAGAACTCAATTCAACTCTTAGGGGAGGTGATCCCACAGCAGTCGAGAAAAGCTAGCTTTGCTATTAAAACTGATGATAATGAAATTTAAGCACTCTGTAGAAAAATTAAAAGTGCAAATCTACCATTGTGAATTAAAAATAAATATGCACTTGCCGTTCTGACCACAAAAAGTGCCCATTTTTAAGAAATTTTCATATTCGAATAAATTTTTTGCTTCAAAGTGTAAAAAAAGTATTAATTTTCTAAAAGTTTTTTTTTTTCATTCTGAGTTTAGGAAAACTTGACACAAATCGGTTTAAGTCATTTCCGAGAAATCCAGCTACGGTTACGGCATTACGAGTTTAATGCTCAAAAAAAAAAAGGCGCCGTTGCGACATGTGATTTTTCTTCTTTTTTAATGTTATGACTAAAAAATTTTACTTCATAACATAAACAAGAATTTGTAATTAATTTTGCGAATCCGCATTATCCACTAGAGCAAGCGTGGTGGAAAACTGATACCTGACTGCTCGACTGGATGGTTATTTTAAATGGTCAAACTCCAAGAAAAGTAATGCCTGCTACCATTACAAACGTAAAAAAACGATCTTTATTTTACATTAAGGTTTTTTCTTGAAATTCATGTATACACACACGCTGAAGCTATTTTCCGGTCGAGCTCCTCCTATAGTTTGTGGCAATGTTTTTCAACAATGGAGGGCTGTTTATATCAAGGCGCCTTCGAGACGCTGATGGTTTTTTATAAAAAGCATTTGCCAGAAATGCATTAGGAGGGATTGGCATTCTTCGCGCAAGGAACTTTTTGGAATGGCCTCACTTTCTGAGAAAATCTACTTAAATATATAAACATTCCAGAAATATTTTTTATGTTAAATCTGACCTTACGAGGGGATTAACAAAAGTTCAGTAAGTTGACCAGAAAAAAAATTAAAAAATTATTTCTATATTTATTCGAAATCTTCTTCCTTTTTTATCTTCTCTAGATAATCACCGTTGATTTCAATGGATTTCTCAAGCCTATAGATTCACTTTTGAGCGCAGTCTTCAAAATATTGCTTTTTAAGCTTATTAAGTTTAGCATTAACCGCATTGATTATCTCCTCGTTGCTATTGAAGACCATTCCTTTTATATTTTTTGTAAATTTTGGAAATAACCGGAAATCACAAGATGTATCCGGGCAATATGGTGCTGGACGTATTTCTTCGATCCCAGAGATCGTAATAAAATTACTTCTTTTTTCACGAGTGTGGGATAGCACGTTGTGCTGATTTTAAAAGTAGCGCCACAAATCCTCTTTCTTCCTGTTTTCCAAGATATTTTGTAAACTTTTCGTAAGCAACCTTGGGTGCGCCGTTTTGCAGTTACCATGTGACCCTTTACCTCTGGAATAGCAGCTATGATTTTAGATTGGCTGCAGGTTTTTGTTGCTTAGATTTTACGGGTTGGTTTGCCTCTATTGGGCTCCATACCATGGACTGCTATATGGTTTCTGAATTATACTTATAGAACCTAGATTCGTCATCTGTAATGACTTTACTAAAGTTGCTACACTCACCAAATTCGAATTTGTTTAGGAAAAATTAAGCAAAACGCACTGGAGTCTCTTTTCGGGCCTCATGTAAAATTACTGATACCCATCAAGTAGATTTCATGGCATTCAAGCCCAATTAATTAGAAATCATTAATTGTGTCAATGGTGAGATTTTTGGTCGACCTGCTCGGAGCTCGTCTTCTACGGAAAAATATCCCGTATGGAATCTTCATTTCTTCATCACTTTTAAAAAATCTTTAAAGAATGAGCAATTGTTCCATGATCTATATGTCATTCACTGAATATTTGTATTGGCTGTAAATTAAGCCGATACCCGGAGAGAGTCACATAGCGAAGTTCTGCTTGCGATGGTGGTTGAATTTCGCCTGACCTATCCTCAGCTATCTTACGATTTCTGGTCTGCATTCTAGCTGATCGTTCTAAAACCTGAAAGGAAGACTAATAAAGTAATTGCAAAGACTTTGGTATTTTCAGATTTAACAAAAACAAACTGAACGTCACCAACTGCCCGTTTTTTTGTTAATCTGATCCCCTCGCAATAGCAAAGGGCTCATACGTTCATTGTCATTTTAATTGATCTATTAGAATTCGTCACATTTCGTTAATGAAACTAACGTGTTTTGTTGTTCACCAGAGTGTTCTTAGAAATTTGATATATGAATTAGGAAACTCCTGATAAATTCATGTTGATCTTAATGAATAATATGCACTGATTATAGGTGAATATTTCATATATATCTGACTGTAACTTTTATATATGTATGTATGCAACAAATACTAAATAAGTGCTCATTAAAATGCAAAAACAAATTGTTGCCTAAAGAAATATCACTCAATGTGTGTGTGCGTAGTATAATGAAATCAAATCTCCATCAATTCCGTTTGGGATTATGCCAGTTAAATACTCTCACAAATATTTACTTATGCACATACTTACATACATATGTATGTACTGTACGTCATTTAAAGCTCAGCACCTAATTAAAAACAAAACTACACAAATATTATATTATATAATATTTGGTTTCTAAGGATTAACATTTATATTCGGTTTACCTGAAAATAAGCAACACATAGGGACTAAAGTACGAATTTTACACTCAATATACATTTATTATAAATAATTAATTAATTAAATATGTGAACAATCGCACATACGTACATATACGAGTATGTTTATATATATGTGTATTCCCATTATGTACGCAGCAAATTTTACGGTTTTTCCAAAGGTTTTTACGTACACACATAGACTTTTACATGCATACATACATACATATTTTCATAAATACGATACGACAGATTTTGTTTGCGTTGAAAATAATATATATATTTATATGTTGTATTATTTTCGCATTTAATCGAGCTAACATTTAATTTTGCCCTCATCAGTGAATATCAAAATTTGAATATTACTAAAAACTAAATATTTCTGTGCTAAGTAGATATGAATTTGTATGTATACAAAGGCCAATTTATTAATATGTAGACACAGCATAACTATTAAAACTATAAAGGTAACCAAATGAACGAGTATAAGCCCATAAGCCCTGTGAGAAAGTTTCAGTAATCAGAAATTACAAATACACAGAAAAGCAAACAAATAAAGGGTGATTTGTTTGGACGCGTGGTTTGCAATAAGGCAATACCTTTTTCGAAGTTGATGTTTAGGCAGTTTTTATCTGATTTACACTCAGTTTGTCTTGTCATTTCCGGTACAACGTTTGCAAATCGTCCAAAATTTAGTAAAGAAAAAAGTTCGACTTGCGCGACGTAGGAGCAGCAGAGCCGATAATTCGAGCTAACATGGATTGATTTCACACCTCACTTTCTCCTGGGGATAAT